GGGCCGCGTCGAACCTCGCAGGGTTACAGCGTGCTGGTGTGTTAGCGTTACAAGCATAAATCATCCCGTGAAGTTAACCTTCGGGCGCTTTGCTTCTGCCAAGTGAGAGGCTTCGTGGCACGCCGGATCCTTGGGAAGGATTTGTGGATTTGACGCATCAGCCTGCACGTTTGCCTGCTCGGAGCCAGCCTGCGGAAAGCAGGCGGAGGGCTTGCCTGCAGGAGCGGAGGGAGCTGGGCTTGTCTCCACACAAGGAACAGGAAACTTGTACAGTTTTCTGGTGTGACAAAATTAGACAATTTCATTGCACAAAATAACCAAAATTTATAGCCAGAGCTTCGGAAATGATATCACTTTCAGTTGTTTTATGAACAGTGTTTTATGAACGATGCAGACATCTTTGGCTGTACAAACTGTACTTGCTTTCTTGGTTGTCGTTTAAAAGACACCTACATTCTCAGTTGTCTCTGTTTAAAAAAAAAAAAACCCAAAACTCTCAGAACAAAAACATTTTGTTCCAAATTATGCAGTTTCAACAGTGTAATCCTCTTGACTCACTAGCATTTGAACTTGGAGCTTCCCAGCTAAACTAAACTGTCATCTAAACAGCCAGTTCTTGCACTCTTACGCTTTGAATAATGGGAAAAGACTTTTCAGAGTCCGCATAACTCAGTGGTTCTTTTTATTTCAGAGAAGGGCAGTGACGTGGTGCCAGAATCAGACTAATTCCTGCTTGCTTAGTTTATGCAAGCTTCACTTTTAAACTTGGTGGGAGCCTTCGTGGAAATCAGGTGAGGGATACAGTCTGTAGTTGTCTGAGAAAAGGAGAACAAAGGCGGTGGATTAGAGCCACATTACATGGGATCCATGTTCTCCATTCTCCTGTGGTCTGCTTAAAAAGCCCTGCTCTTCTTGTCTCTGGTCCGGGATGGTACGTGACCGCTGCTCATGCTGCTTTCTGCTGGTGCTCCTGGGAAGGAGACACCTCCTCGCCTGTGCCCGGCAAGGGGAAGTGATGTTTTTAGGGTCCTTCCCCCAGCAAAGCGATGCGGCCCGAGGGCAGAGCTCGGGAAGGCGCTGGGAGCCCTGGTGCCTGGGCAGAGGGAGGAGGCTCCGCTCTGTCGGCGAACCCGCGGCGGTGACTTTGTGCTTCCCCTGATAAGGGGGTGTGTGACTGAGTGGGTGCCTTCAATTCTCTTCGGTGCCCTTCTGCGTAATGGTTGCCAAAGTCCTCCTCTCTGTAACACCACCAAGAAACTCCTCCCTTGCAAGTGGTTGGAAGAAAAAACGATGGCTAGCGAGGAGGGCAACGGGGAGCATAGCATCCTAAACTCAGACTAGTGCTTGGTCTGTAGCTGTTCTCCATCTCTTTGTGGCTTCTTCGTGGCTCAGCCATATAGCGTTTTGTTATTATTAAAAAAGCTGGAACACTTGACTGATGGTGTGCTCTCTACAGAAGTATCTCTGGAAAGCCAAGACAGGGAGCATTGCCCGTTCTGAGCTGGTGTTTCAGGGCAAATATTTGTCCAAGTGCTGTGTTAGCATAATATTTCTAATGTCGGGCCAAGGGCATAAATTCTGGTGCAGGCACCCAGAGACATGAATTGCAGTTGTGTGTTTCAGTGTTACAGAGGATTTGCTCTTGCCAATATCTGTGCAGGACATTGTATCCAGGCTTTGGTAGCCTGTAATGAGGCTTGGCACTGAACAGTAGTGCATCATCATTCTTAATCTTGCTATTCTGAAGTAGTAGTGTATTCCTTAGTTTAACAAATAAAGTCATATATGGAAAGACCAGGGGCAGAGGAGCAGAGCTGTGTACCGGTGGACCTGTGGCTTGAAAGTGCAAGCGATCCATCCAAGTCAGGTTGTTCAGATTTTGAATGAGAAGCTGAAAAATCAGCCGTGCAAGTACAGTGTGAAGAAAGGAAGTTTAATGGCTCCCAGCAGGCTTGCATAATCTGTATCACAGCCCTCCTCGTGGCTTTACCAGCCTGCTGATAAAATAAACTGCTTTGCGTGACAAATCCTGAAACTTCTTAGGGCAAAACTTTGTGCAAAGAGTTCATGGAAATAGAGATTTTGATCTCCATGCCTTTTCTCACAGAAGAATAGGATACCTTTCCTAAATTTTTGAAATGCTGTTATTTTTTTCAGTGGCAGAATTGGCTGCCTTGTCTTAAAAGTCAAGGGAGAATGTTGCATTCTTGGTATGTGGAAGTTGTGGGGGTTTGGGTTTTGCTTTTCTTTTTTTTGTTTGGTTGGGTTTTGTTTGTGTTTTTTTTTTTTTTTTTAAATAAACTAGCATGTTTGCTATACGCAGTCCTCCTAGAGAAGCACCTTTCAAATATCCTGACTCTTTGTCTCTTTC